GACCCAGACTTTTGTAGCATTGGTGCCTGTGCCGCTTGGGCGATGGGGGAAGGCGGATTCATCGCCTTTCCGCCTATGTTCGACAACATACAAGACAGTGCCCATGCAAAAGTAAATGACATGTCAAATAGCCTCCTAGAAGATGGGTGCACATACAATGTACAGACGTATAACTCATAGTTGAAGGGACTGTACGGTTATGCCTGGTATGTGGGAGCATCCCAGTAAAATCACTAACAACGAGTCCCTATACCTGTTTACATAGATGACAAATCCCAACTTCCTTAAATATTCGCTGTCTCCAGCACTTTGAAAAGCCTGTTAATCAAAAAAATTGCAGAAAAAGCAAACCTAAAAATTTATCAGTAGCATAATTTACGCCAAAAGCAATGAGAACGATGACATGATGAAAAAGAAGTTCGATGATGCGCAGTGATTGCTCATTGATAAGCAAATCAATGATATCGTGGATTAAATAACCCGTCGACATGATCAACTGAAATAAGTAATAATTAATCTAAGTTTGTGTGCCAAAAGTTGCTTTGCTGGAATTTTTATTTAAAAGTTTTATATTTTTTCCTGTTATTTATCGATACAACTATTAACAAAAAACCCCTAACTATGTTTATTCGACACTTCATCATGATCTGAGATGCTCAAGCCACACCAAAAAAAATCTCGAAGCAGCTAAAGCCTTGTTAAATGCTTCGGTTGGGCAAACAGCTGCCCTGGTAAATCACTAAGAAGACAAAACGGACGCCAGAATTACCAAAGGACTAATCACTAAGTGTTGCAAACACTGGACAAAGCTGGTGAAAACCTTCTGGGCAACTCCGTTGACAGATTCGATAAATATTATCCACGCAATATTAAGAGAATCCAAAAAAAGCCGTCGTGATGCCGTTCAAGGAACTGTTTCAACGCTTATATGGAATTATGTGAATGAGAAAGGCGCAAAACAGAGCAGAATGAAGAAACAGCCAGTTGCATCAACGCCGAGAAGATCACCCGGGATGCACGTAGAGGTTAGTGAAAATTTTGACGGGAAAACTGCTAACTCGGGAATGAGGGAAGCTAGAAAGCTAAAACTTTAGGAGATTGCCCCGGGGGTTGTTTTGTTTTGTTAGGGGTTGTTTTGTATTGCCTGTATAACATCAACTGCGTATTTCTTGCGTATTGATTCTTTTGTTTTGCATTTTATTTCTTCAATTTATGTTGGTTATTAACTGTCGCGAGGAATAAACTCCTAAATGTAAAATAATCCAAATATTTTTAATTTAAAAAAAATTGAAGAAATCCAACATACCAGATAATGG